TGTGACAAGACACCACATTCTCTGGTAAAGTATTCCACTCAGTCGCGGTTCTATGAAAGAAAGAGGATGCAACGTGAGCTTTCGTTACAGTGACTGTCATAACCTGCCGAATGTTTTGTCTGTCAGAGTTAAGACGACCAGACCGGCGCTTCTCTAAAGGTAGAATGAATGGAGGTTGAAGACTGGAAAGTAGCGATGAATTATTTTTAATTTTAAAGAAATGTAGCAGTCGAAAATATTTTCTTAAAGATAAATCCGGAAGGTTTAACTTATCGATTAACTCACTAACTGAGCCGCTAATTTTTTTACAAATAAGTCTTGCTGCTAACTTGCTCACCTTATCAAGAACAGAACTATACCATTGGCTATCATAAACTACACTACAGTAATCTAATTTACTCTAGATGCAAGACTTATAAATTTGAAGACGGATAGACCGCGGTGCATTTTTAAATGTACGACAAATAACACCAAGTCGACGCCTACAGGCAAGAATTATATCATTGATGTACGCTCCCCAAGTTAAGTCATGTGAAAGTCTAACACCGAGAACAACAACGGACTCTTCGCGTTCCATTACTGTAGAATTGATGGTGAACGAAAGATGATTGGCAACAGAAGTGTCTAACTGAATGAAGTTTTGCAGTAGAAGAAGGAGAAGGATAATTTTTACATATCGCAAAAAGTCTGTCTCTTTGACGACGTGCAACATAGAACAGCCACACTGAGAATAAAAATCCGAGTGATCCGCAGTCCTTAAAAAGCTCTATCGATTACAGATATTTGATAGTTTTCAACGCAATTCCCTTCTCGCTAATTTATTTTAGAAAATACCTGCTTTCAAAAAGAAAGGTAATGTGTCTGTTCATCGTGGTGTCATACTGAAAAATTCCCATAAAATCATTTTCTGTTTCTCAATTGATCTTTTTAGGTGACTATTTGAATTAAACCATATCGGCCACGAAAAAATTTGACTGATGAAACAAGTGCTATTCGTTGTTTGAAAATGTTGCTTATTTCCAGTGGAAAGACAAACTTAACCTTTTTTTGACGATTATATTCGGTATCAGAAACAGGTTATAGAAAGTTGGCAAAATCGCTTGAAAATAAATGCAGTGCTACTTAATATCGTCTTTTTGGTCTCTAAAAATTTAATGTCGTATTCTTTTACAATACATTCGATAAAATTTTATAGAGAATTTAATAAATGCATTTTTTTGAGAATCAAATTGATCTTCTATGAGGCACTGAAGCAGAGATATGCGTGAAATAAATAACAATGTTGACAATATTTTGGGACACTTGGTATAAGTTTTCTATAAGTTTATTTCATAAGTTCATCAATGTTTATTACTTTAATCGATAGGCCAGCACAGTCACCGTTATTTAACCCTCCTTTTATGCTCTACTGATTTGTTTTTTTGTTGTTATACTGTCTGGATACTTCCCAGCGGTAGATTATTTAAAGTGTTCCGTTTTAGCGGAACCAGTGTCCGCACACTTTTAATAAGTGTGCTGAAACATATATGCAAGAAAAACTCTGAAAATCACGGTTTCTTTCATTATACTTAACAGAATATACATTTAAGAATTTCGACCTCTGTTTTAGTGTTAAAATACTCAAAGCGACCATAATACTTGACCAAAATACATCACACTGCCAGAATATACTCACGAGGGAACCTATGGAGCTGAAGCACTCCGATTTCGTTCGTTCTTGTGTGGGTCGATAGGGCATGTGGAGTGGGTAAAAAGCCTAAGAGGGTTCGGGCGGAGACTTTTCCCTTGGGGAGTTATGGGCATTTTACGCATTTTCTCACGTCAGCGGAAAACAGGCAAGATTAAAAAAACCACAACTCTGTCCAGGAAAGTCGTAGAGGGCTGAAAGTTTTTTTGGTGGTGAGGATAAAGATTGTCTTCATATCCTGCAAGTTTCAGAGTTCTATCACTTTCTCTCATTCAGAGGCAGAACTTTCCATAAAGGCAAGGAAACGCCATGAGAACACTGCTTCGTCTGTCTTACACTTTCAAATCTGTTTGACTTTCGTCATTTTTATTCCTTTATGATTTACAAACTTGAGTTCGAATCGCGACCCTTAAGGTAACAGTACTTCACAGAAACTAAGAGAGAAAAAACCTACACTTTAATGATAGTGGTAGCTGGTGTAAAAATGCGAGAAACAACAAACTTTCGAACAATAGGCACACTGAATAAATGTCGTATTCGTACATTTACTGATATAACAGCGATCACTGTCGAACGAGAAACAAATCTGTTCGACGTTGAAAAATGGCCCTGGATTATTCTTGAGATAGCCGCTCGAATACCACGCATATCGAGTCATCGAAGTGAATTTGGGAGAACAGATTTGATTGTAGGCGAGAGAGTTCAGTTTGATTATTTCGTTGCGTTGAGCAAGATTGATGTCGAGGTCGTACAGTCGAACGTAGTCGTGAGACTTGCGAATGAAATGCTTGTACTGCCTGTTCCAATAAACATCCAAAGGTTGGATCATGCTCGTCGTGTGCTTGGGTGTCTCAATCCTCTCTCCAGATGTTTCATCTTGCCGTAGATCTTCTCGTCACCCTGCGCTCTTCAGCAGTCAGAAATGAGCAAACGCTTCTTGTTGGCTACTGTCGGTATCAACACTTTATCTCGCCAGTATTCAACCAAACTTGTCGTGAGTTTTCCCGACTTACTACACGTTAGAACAATGTTATCTGCTTGGAAGAGAGTCTCCTTGATATTATCAGACATCTTGCTTGAAGCTTCCTTCAAGCAGAGGTAGAGAGGACCGACGGCATTTCCAGCTAGTGAGATCAGAGGCTGGATCGTGTAGCTATGCGTCGTGTTGTGCATCGATCGTACTTTTGCAACTGTTAATTTCTCTCCTTCAAATGACAAAGTTCTGTTAGAATACATCTCGAGTTGTAATCCTGACTGATTAGTATTGACGACATTGTCTGGCTTGAATTTAGGTAGCAGTTTCTGAACTTTCTTCTTCGATTTTTTGCGACGTCCTCATCACGGGCACCAAAGCCTAACTTGTATTGACTGGCAGGTAGGAGTTTACTGATGTAGCTTGGGAGCAGTCGTCCTACGTTGTGTGGGTCGATCATAGTGATGTGACTTTGATTGTAGATGGTAGTAAATGACCGGAGGAAAACTTTGAAGAAAATCCTGTGAGATCTATTCTCACGTCCTTTATTTCCAAACGTAGCGCACCACTACTTGGTGGAGAAAGAGAAACAATAACAATAACTGGAACAACTGAACTCCAACTGAACAGCAACTGAACTGAATGAATGAATGAATGTATGTAACGAGAATGGAGCAGGTATATATATATATGAGTCAGAGGGAGAGTGAGAACCTACTCGAAGGTTCCAGAATATCGAGAGAGATATCATCATGACGTCATGTTCAATAATAGGAAGAGAAGAGAGAGATCATGACGTCATGTACAGTAAAGGAAGAAAGGGAGAAAAGATATGAATAAGGTGGGAGGAGGGATAACCTATGACCTTTATGACCTTAAAGGTCATAACAGACCCCTACCTTTTTCTCTCTTTGTGTCAGAGAGAGTCAATAAGGAACGTAAACAAAGCTCTCTTCCTGCACACTAAGCACACCACTACCGAAGAGAATAAAATAATTCAAACATGTCATCGTGACATTAAGAAAAAGATAGCACCACGCACTCTTTCGTACTGCGTTTCCTTGCCTTTCTGAAAAGTTAGTTCTGCCTCTGAATGAGAGAAAGTGATAGAACTCTGAAACTTGCAGGATATGAAGACAACCTTTATCCTGACCACCAAAAAAACATTCAGCCCTCTACGACTTTTCTGGACAGAGTTGTGATTTTTTTAATTTTGCCTGTTTTCCGCTGACGTGAGAAAATGCGTAAAATGCCCATAGCTCCCCAAGGGAAAAGTTTCCGCCCAAACCCTCTTAGGCTTTTTACCCACTCCACATGCCCTATCGATCCACACAAGAACGAACGAAATCGGAGTGCTTCATCTCCATAGGTTCCCTCGTCAGACAGGTATACTCTATACATGCACCGTTCTAAATTAAAAAAGATTCTTTGTTGGAAGGATGGGAGGTTCCCTAGTGAAAAACTTACTCGAATCTTACTAAAATCTTAGAAAAATCTTATTAAGGTCTTAGTAAGATTTCGCTTAGATTTGTCTAAGATCTTAAACAAATCTTACTAAGATCGTGAGACCCGAAAATTCTAAGATTGGACAAGATAAGAAATCTTAATAAGATTTTTCTAGGATTACACTGTTTAAGATTTTTTCAAGATTTGGTAAGTATCTGTTAGAATCTTAATAGTAAGAACGACGACGTTTTTTAAATAATATTCATTAGAGATACGCTGAAAATTTTTTCAGCTTTTAATCCGTATTATCCAAAGCAACAGTTGAACAGTGTTGAAGAATGAAGAGAAATTTCATATTTTCGGGTATCCCACTATGGACCTTGAGCTACATGTACATTCTCTAAAAAGTTGTTGAACACTTTCGAGAGAGCAAGTACTAGCAGAGTCTGGAAGAAAAATAACCATAAAATCACTCATATTTCCAGTGTTACTTATATAGATGAATTAGAGCAAAACAAAAGGGTGAATGGAAGTAGAGTCATTAAATCTTATTAAGATCTTAAACGATAAGATCTTTTTAATTTATTACGGCTCAAGCGGTTAATTGGTATTTTTCTTGAAAACTTTTCTTTTGAGGTTTTCCCTATTTTAACATTAAAACAGAGGCCGCCACGAGATTCAACATGGTCGATAACCTGTGTTTTCACTCCTTTTCAGGGTTCCCAGACATGAAAATGAGGGATTAGGTAGGTCCATTATTAATCACCAAACTTGATTTAATTTTTCTCTGCCAACATTTTATTATTGAAAAGTAATCAGTAATTAAAATACACTAAATGGATTAAAACAGAACAGAAAACATGCAGGAGCTATAAAGAAAAGAATAAAATCTATTTATGATTTGTTGAAACCTCTGATAACAATTTCACGAGTAATATTCCTCTCCATTAGCTCTTCAAACTGAGCAAAATTAATTTTCTTATCACCACCAATTTGTCTAAAATGATAATTAATGTCGTCCGCCTTGACACCAGGGAGAATAATCTCAACAAATCTTGTAAGTTCAGGAATATCAATTATTCCATTGCCATCTGTATCCAACAAATTAAACACCTTCTCTCTCTGAACACGATCTTTCGATGATGACACAAACAGCTTTAATACCTCCAGAAAATCCTTCCATGGCATACCAGTTTGGTACGTATTATATGTTGTTTCTTTTAAAGTAAAGCTTCCCAATACGGTCAGTGTGTTATCACCATCATGTTTCTGACATTTATATTCTACTATGCCTTGGCCTGGGGTGCGTGAATCCAATAAGCGATAAGTCCATTCTAAAAAGATTAAAAGTAACGATAATAAGCTTATGTACAATATGGGTCGTTAAGGATTTTTGCTTGAATTTTGCATTCGGTGAAGTTCTGATTTGTCTTTTTTAATTTTCCTCTTTTCTATTTAACACAGGTTCCCTCGACAGCAATCGAAACAACATTTGTATTTCATGCTGTACAACAGGGATATTCATATTTATAACACGACTGAACTGTCTCTGTAAAAACTGCTTGTTTCACATGTATCGTCACAAAGAATATGACCTATCGTTCAACAAAAGTGGCTAAGAATTTGTTGACTTTAGTTGCACTCTTTTCATTGGTTTTCATTTCATTCTGTAATCTTAGACGTAGTGGATTTAATCTGAAATAAATTGTTTACTTCTGATGGATTTCAATCACAAATTTTAACGAACCATTCGAGCTGTACATGAATGACATCAAAGCTCTATTCGCAATCACTATCTCCCCCTTTGTACGTCAGCTTTCGTTACGTGTTTTGACGCTGACTGAAAACACTTCTTACCTTCATGTTAACTCTCGTTGAGCAAAATGTAACAGATAAATGTTCAGGCCAAGACTGGTTGTATGGTTTTATTTGTCATCCCATGTAAATTCATTGCGTCTGAACGCGTCGTCTGGAGAAACGCGTTTGATGCGATTTTGTAAAACAAAAATATCTCAGATGCGTTTAGGAATCGCATTTAAACGCGTTACATTCTTAATCTAAAGACTTGATAGACATGGATTACATCATTGGTAGTTTTGCCCTTCGACGTATGAATAATGGATAGTATCTATTCAATTTCACCTAGAAACGTTTGCAAGAGGAATTGTGTAAAGACAATTATATTTGAACCTCGAATGAGTATGTGACTATCATCCGACTTTTTTAAAGATAATGCTGTCGAGATAACACTTCTAGTAGAGGGAGAACGGTCCATTTTCACAATCAATCTGAAAGAGCGAAAGAAAGAAACAGCCGATTAGAATCTTTATTAAATATCTATATTGAACATTTTTCACAAAAGTCGAGATAAGACCCCCTCTCGTCTTATTACTGCTTTAACCGGTCTAAACTTGTCATTTGAGGTCGGTTTGCCACACACTAAAGTTACAAGTGAATAACTTTCAACGCCATGGAAAAGCTTTGAGAAAAAGCAAACGTAGAGTAACGGCCGGAAGAATTCTATTTTACTCGCAGAAACTGTTTTAAAACTAGTGCTTTTAATATTATTTGGTCCCAGTTGTTTTCTCAAGATAGGCAAACTCTACCTGCAACTAGGCACATTTTATCACAGTTATCAAGTTACTTCAACAAATAGAAAAGAACTTCTATAATCCAATCAACCATAATCTAATATCCCGTGGCGCTATGACCTTTAGCAATTACCCTTCTCCGGATATTCTCGACGAATGCTCATTGATATATGTATATATATATATATATATCTCGTATATATATATAGTAGTCTTATATGTATATATATATATATATATGTTCTCGCCGATCGCTGAGAACTTTTCTTATTACTTTTAACATCAAAATTATCTTCAACAAATATTGTCACCCGACGTTGAACATCGCCATCCAATTCAAATGTATGTGTCGGATATGGACTGGTAGCCGATGAGA